ATTCGCCAAAGAGACAGAGAGAGACAGCAAATGAGAAATCACCCCCGGAGGGGGGGGGTGGCCATGCCACAGTCCCTTCTCCTCCAGCATCTCCTTGGGATTTGGGGCACACCTGCACATGTGTCCCGCATAATTTCTTTTTAAATTTATTTTTTATATTACATTTAATAACATATATCTTTACAGTGTATAACATTTCTTTTTCCAGCACTATTACCATGCATATCAATCAAGACAAAGACATTACTATCCACATCAGTAGCAGCAAATAGCTTTTTTCAGATTTTTTTTTTTATTCTTCTCAATTTTTTTAATACTCAACTGATAAACATCATTTGGCTTGTAAAGAGAATTTTCCCAACATTACTCTCAAACCAGTCCATTTGAGAATACTATACATGTTATCATCAATAGATAATAAACCATTTCTGAGTCCCACAAATGCCATGCCTATTTTTTTCTCCTACTTTCATTCTCTATACTCTTCCCTTCTCCCCCACCCCACTCATTCCACACTGTCTTCAGCATCCATAACTATTTTCACTGTTTTTATGCCCTCCAATATTTAAATCTCTACCATAGAATGTGCATAGTCAGTATATATTAAGTGGATACATACAAAATCTTTCTTTCACAGCCTGGCTTGCTTCGCTCTGCAATAAATTTTCCATATTCAACCACTTTCTATCAAATATCAGCGTCTTGTTGTTTTTTATGGCTGAATAGTATTCCATAGAGTATATGCGCAACACTTTTTCAGTCCATTCATCTGTTTGTGAACATTTGAGTTGGTTCCATGTCTTAGCAATTGCCAGCATGATTTTCAAGTCCCCAGGTCCAGGACTCAAACTGCAGTTGGCCATCTGGGAGTCCAGCGACATAACCTGCTCTATCTGCTGGTCCCAAAAAATGTCATCTTAATTATAGTCCCCACAAGAACTATATCTACAATATTATAATATTTCTAGACCTTTGCTTGAATCAATAATCTTATAACTTTTTAAAAATTTTTGAGAGGTTTTTGCTATAGGGCACGTGCACTCGCCAGAAAGAAAGAGAAAGACAGAGACAGAAAGTGAGAAATTACTTCCCAGGGAGGATGGTCATGCCACAATCACCTCTCCTCCATTCTCCTCTTGGGATATTGGGCATGCACACACACACACGCACCCGGCATGAGTCTAAGCCAACGGGTCCAGAACTCAATCTGCAGTCAACTATGTGGGAGTCCAGCAACATAGACATTATGCCAACTGCTGGTCCTAATCTTACAACTTTTAAAATGGAGTTTGTGGATTAACGCTAGTATTGAATTGTCAGTTATGATTTATTATTCCTATATGCTTACGGAAGTTAGTATTGAAACTACTAACAATATAAAAATAGAAAGATTAATGGGAAATATTAGCCTAAAATACACAATTCTTCCCCATTAGATCTATTACAACCAGATCTAATTGAACCGTATGATATCAGGAAGGGCCAAGCAAATATCACACCAGTATTATTTCACTTTCAGAATCACCATCCAAGAGAAGCAAGAGCATCACTGTGATCTGAACAGAAATTTAGTGTCCAAGGAACCATCCTCTGTGATGCTGGAGTCTCACAGGAGGGGCTCAGATTTACAGGCCAAGACCTCCCTACATGCTGGGCATGCGTATGTGTGATCTGGACTACCTGGAGTTGGGAGTGGATCCTGGTGTGAAGAGCCCATTGGAAGTACTGGCTCTAAATCTGTCTCTCCCTCTTTCTTTCATGGAAGACATAGGAAAAAAGAAATTAAGTGCTCAAATATGCATTAAAGAAGGATGAGATTGGCCACAATTACTTTATGTCACACATGGCCTAATAAATGATTCTTAGATACTCATATTAAGATTCCCCACAATGGTGCTTAGAGAGAACATATAGAAAATACAGAAAAGAGGACAGAAATAGGAACATCTCGAGCTAAAAGTAAGTTTAAGTAAGTTCTTCTCCCCTCCACATTTTAAAACCCAGAGATAATTTTACTCCCTCTATCAGCAGTTAGAGGTCATAACTTGAGTTCAGGAGCAAGGTGAAACACTTGGAAAAACACAAAACTATGCCAGTGTTCTAACCACTAATTGGTTAATTATAGCAGAGGCATTTCTGAAAACACCTACAGTGCCGTCTCACCAACCTGCCTCGTGAACAAAGCTGTATACTTGCTTGTGGTGATTCAGCATTTAAAACTCAAACACTTCATATGACAAGTTACTAAATAAGGCTAGAGAATTAAAATTAGCTTCACTCTACAAATATGAAGCTATTCAACAGCACATCTGTAGAATGATTTGCACTGTATTTTTACTGTCATTACATTTCTCTGCTTCATAATAAAAAAAATCAAGAAAAGGTAATATTTAGGAAAAAAGAAAATTAAATTTAAAAATAGCATTATGTAATGGAAAAGGAAAAGTTGAATTAATAATGTCAAAGTTTAATTATACTCTGTTTAAGTTCTTTAAGTTCTTCTCCCACCCACCTTCCTAATCTAAAATATTCATTTTAGAGGCCAGTAGACAGAATAGCAGTTACATTGCTGGACTCCCACGTGGCTGACTACAGTTCAAGTCCCAGACCAGCGGCTTGAAAATCACACTGGATATATGTGCATGGGTACTCAAAATCCTAGGATTAGACTAAAGGAGAAAGGATTGCAGCATGGCCATGTCCCCTGGGGAGTGATTTCCACTTTTTCTCTCATTGTCTCTGTCTCTCTCTCCAGTGAGTGCACATGAGCCAAGGGAAAAACCTTTTTAAAAACATAATTTTAGAAAACAAAAGAAAATGTTAACTTTGTCTTCCATGGCTCTGTATCTGAGCAGAAATGATGAATAAAAATTAAAATATGTCATCTTTTTAAAAATGTAAGCCCTGTTCATAGGAAACAGCCTGAATTTTCTCTAGAAATTCTACGGAAGTTTCTGACAAAAGAAAATTTTAAGCAAACACATTATTATCAACAAGTCATTCAAGAACAACATTAATAGCTACCTTAATTCTACATTGGAACTTATTCAGAAAACTCTATTCTGATAATAGCTTTAACAAAGGAAGACTCAGGGCTTTGTAAGCCTGAAGATTATGAAATGTTAAGAACTCTTTTTATGAAAAAAAGAATATAATATAACAAACTTAAAATTAAGTGCAAAGTAAATATTTGTTAAAATGTTAAAAAGAAATCACAATAAAAACAACAGGCACAAAATTCAAGGGAAAAAAACTATTACTTTTACAATTGAACAGCTTGACAAACTTCTATAATTTGTTTTTTCAGAGACTGGTACTGACTCCATCATTTCAAATGTTTACCCTACTCCTATGCCGAATGCCATGGGACAAATCCATACTAAGATGTGACCTCTGGTCCTGCACCTTCATTTCACATATTTTCAGCAAATTGACAAGAGTGTTTAATAAAAGAATTCCTGGAAGACATTCTCACATGACAAAGGCTAGAAACAGCTTAATTATGTACAAAATGGCTACAAACCACACATATCTATCCCTCCATATCAAATTAAGTGTATTGCCAACTCAACTTCTTATGTCTGTGGCCTCTCCAGTGACACCCAACCCAAGGGAGAGTGTGACTGTAGGGCACCCCAGGCAGAAAGCAGCAGCCCTGTAAACCAACTGCAGTTAAAATGTCTTCATTTGCAAATTTCCCCAAGAAAATAGTTTCATGTGATATGGCAGTTTAAAAAAGAGTAAATATCTTTTGGATATGAAGTGACAGTACTAATTCTTGATGAATGTTTATTGGTTTCGATCAAGTTCATGACCCTTTTTTCTTTTAATAACAATCTTAAAATTTTTTGTTTAATAAATAATGTGATTTCTTCTGTCATATTATTTTTCATTAAAAAAGCCTGACATTAAAAAATGATAGGGAAAAAATATTGCTCTTTGGTTTTCTATAAAAGGGCAAGA